AAGCTTTCTACAGCTTCTCTCTTTCTGAGCAGATACTTCAAGAAAGAAATGGTAGAGATAATAATGGAATTTAAATTTTCTTTTGATATTCCAAATGTTCGCACATAAATGAGAATTTTGGATTTTTACTAGATTGACCAGTACTTCCTGGGTGTAAGAGAGCTGTTAAGATCTCCTGCCTGTACTTACAGTAACCCGGAGAAACACGAAAAATACCATTTATAAACTGGAAAAACACAGCAATAACTTCACTTTAGAGATTTCTTAAGACATAACAACATTACCCATGAAAAGAATATAAAGTTAAGGAATACTTGAAATTATGCTGTAAAAATTATCCCTGTTCCATCAACAAAGAACTCCTACGGGCAGTTTGATTGTATTGACTATAAACATTAGGTTTTACAAAGTGACCTCCATGGCAGCTCAGAATAGTTGGTATTTATTTCCCCATTAGCACACACAGTATTAGCAAACATAACACGATGATTGTTGACTGAAAATAAACTCTTGCATTATTAGAAAAAATAGAATTTACAAGTCTGTATTTTGAATAGATTATTCTTAACCAAACACAGGAGCATAGTTTTAAGATTGTTTAAAGGTACAGAGAAAATTCAGTATTTTAAAAGCAAAAGGATTTTCATGTTACTTGTGACCCTTGTGACTTGCCACCTCCAGAGAAAGTGAATTTCAGTAAGGAGGAAGGTCTTGCTTTATAACAACAACTTTATTTTTGAAGTTGGAAGAAACCACGAGTATATTGTAATTAATTTTATTTTAGTTAAAATTTTCAACTAAATTCATTCCTGAATTCTTCTTAAGGCCAATTACAGAAACATTATCTGTGAAAAGCTAGCAGTCCGTTTTAAAATGAGAGAGAGAGAAGGGGGGAGGGAGGAGGGGGCTATCACTTAATAGCTAAGAATGATGTTAAATTATGGTAACATACAACATGTTACAGGTTTAAATTTGATAGTGTGACAGTATAGACCCTGAGACGACCACAGTTATGTGGTGCAGACACCTTAAAAAATTTGCAGATGGCAGTTTTATGTCAGTGAGATTTATATACATCACATACAATTGTTAACAATTATTACGCTTATAATGAAAACTAACAAAATATACTAGTGACGTAAAACTTTAAAGATCCCCTAAAGTCCAAAGCTCAAATTGTTTTTATATATCTGCTATTCTTTAAAGAGTAAAGCTCCTTTTAAGCTTCTATCACATAAATGTAAACAAAACAAGAAACTAACTTGACTCTTAAGATCTATAATAGGGAGGATGGAAACTCTTGATGAAAAGAATATTGATGGATAACGGCATGTCATGATATAGGGAGGCAAAGTCTACGTCGAAAGAGAAAGAGATGAAAGTATGATATAGTAAAGAAGGAAACAGGACTAGTCAATGACAAAGAGAAGAGCTAAAGGCACTTTGGAGCACCGATCCTCTGAAACACATTTCTCTCATTTGTCAGCTTAGCTAGAACTTCACATTTTCCACACTCATATTAAAGAAGAACCAACAGTTCGTATGCTATTTTTAATTCAAGCAATACCTTTAATTAAAAGAAAACCACTACCATGAATTGTTTTGAATTTCATTCCGTGTTTTAATTTAATGCACTATTAGAACATTTGCCAATTAAAACATTAACCATTCAAGATTATTGAGCCTATCGGTAAGCCCTGGGAACAGAAGAGACTCGGAGCTTTTCTGCTGCCTTAACTTTCTTAGCGAGTCCCATTGACAATAGCTGTTGCTCCAAGGAAACAAAAGCAATCATTTCTTGAAGCTCATTTCTCTTACACGTTCCTGTTTCTTTGCTGGAACAGTGTGTTATTTTTAAAAAGGTTTTGACCTGTCCTTCAATTATCTTAGACAATCTACAGCCCTAAGCAAATATTTACCTTATGCCTACAAAAAAAAATCCACAAAGAAAGCCAACAAAACCCCACAACCCAAACCCCAAATACCTAAAAGCCAGCTCCCGTGGGGCCTTACCTATAAGAAGAAGGTATATTTTGCAAAGAGAGATCCCAACCAGGCTGCTACGGAGCTCCATGAGAGCATCCTGTCCCGTGCACACGGCGCCGTTCTCAGTGGCAAGTTGGTTCATGGACCAGCAGCTGCTGGTTTATTTGCTAGGGAAATTAGCAGTGAGGTAACAGACCCTAGCCTGCCTCTTGCTTCTGTGATTTGAATACAGAATGAATGTGTATACAAAGGACACAGGCAGTAGGAACACCTGTTATATGCTTTGTGAGAACACAGGGCTGTGGCTTGCAGAATACTTTCTTAGTGATTCTCAGTAATTTTTCAGTATAGCTTAATAAATTATACTGAGTTATTCATAATCAGAAGGAGGAAGATACTCTCTTTAGGTGACCTCATGATAAATAAAACCCAGGTCTGCTTTCCTATCATGAAATATTATGCCATTATTTTGAAATTTGAAAAAATACTTTCTATGAAAATTGGAGTACTTCATTGATTTCCTAAGTAGTCATTCTTCTTCACAAAGTTACCAATTATCATGCAAAGATAAAGAACCAAGACAGAGCATTAGAATACTGTCTGTGTTATATTTTCTACTACAGATAGCTGTGATAGTTTTATTGGATCTACGTATTCATCTGACTTAAAAAAAATCACAGGTATGTTTGCAAGTGGAACTGAGGCATATATTTTATATAATGATAATGTATAGCATACAGCAACAGATATTACCTAAGGCCATATTTTCTCATCTGAAGCTTAGAGGAAGCGAACCAGTAGCACAGAAAAATCTTGCCTTTGTGTTCTGGCTAAATCTTCTAGCTCCTTTCATTGCTGTGGAAGTCGGTGGTCTGGGGCCTTTGCTTAATATGGTGAGTTCTGAGTGAGCTATTATTTGTCAGAAGGCTCTGGCCTGAGCTTTCTGCATGAAATGGAACATATCTAGAAAAAAATTGGACTTGAAGCTAGTAGAAGTCTCAACACAAGTAACTTTAACAGGGGAGTCCCACTGAAGAAATTCAGTGTTGGGTTGTTGGGGGGGAAGGTATAGCTTTTCATTTTAACTGTTTAAATGAAGACTGTTATTCAAATATTATTAAAAATAAGAAAGGAACAACTGTTATTTTGGAAACTAATTTTGAAAATACTCTTTATGTCAATGTTCCCAACTTGCCAAGGATGTGTCTAAAGGTAAAGACACCACTTTGGGGAGACCCGAATGCTTTATACAGGTCAGTTGCTTTACAATGCTCCATACCTCAGAAATATGTCAAGAGCATCCTCAAGCCCAGGCAATGGCTACATGTTTCTTCATACCCTCTAAATCCTGCACACACATTCACTACAATTTATTTGCTTAGATGTATACTTTCCTTCTCAGATCCTTGACTACAGCGAACAATCTTCGTCACTGACAGTTGGTATCCCAGCGTAACTCTCATTTTTCTTAACAGGTTTCCCTAGAAATAAAACCCTGTGCACTTTAGCTTAAGTTGTCTGCCCCTTAACCATTTCTTACAAAATGCACAGAAAATTTTCATATCAGACTGCACAGCATCGAACTGGGAAAAAAAAAACCATAGAACTTAAACAGATACCACCAAGCTCCTTCACCCCATTTAGATTAGTCTTAGGACAAGCTGTTCCTATTAAATAAGATCATCCTTCATATTGTCCTTACACCAAAAAAATTGGCTCATTATGAGGGTTTCAGATCCTTAACAAGATGTGAGAAACAAAGATAGTACAGAGGGGTGTCCGTAGTGTCAAATATGTAGCATTTAAAGGACTTATAAATATTCCAGTATTTTCTTCATTTTATATTAAAATGTACATTTTTGTGACAGAAAGAAATAGTAGGTGTTTTAATAAGGACTTAAATACAAGCATAATCCATTCTTGTGCTCTTTCCCCTGTCATATACATTAAAAATTTTGCATTACATGTGTTGTTTTGTTTGTACTAGAACTGTACACCTTGACCAAGTGCCCTCTAGTGGTATGTTGGTAAATAACTATGAGAGTATTTGTGAATTTAGGAGTTTTATATCGAAATCATACAGGCAAATTTAACTTCAAGAGCTCCCAAACTGACAGAATTCCTAAAAAATAGTTCCAAAGGGTTTTCTCAGAAAAGGAAAATTCTCCCAGAAATATGGCATCACTCAGAGGCAGTGGCAGGTAGATCTCTGCGTTTGAAGCCAGCCTGGGCTGTATAATGAGATCCTGTCTGGGGCTTGGAGGTGGGGTTGGGTGGTCTTAACACAGTATCTCATAGCACAGTTGATAATCTACCAGCTGTTTCTGTAAAAAAAAAAAAAAGTCCCAAATCCTCACTGTTTACCTACCTTAATTATATTTGCATTAAAAATGAATACACTAAAACAATTTCTGTCCATGATGGTTGAATTAATACGGAGTCACTGGAAGTGTGTGGGAGTTAGGGAGACCAGGGAAAGACTGCTTTCAGACCTTGTCAATCACACATGGCTTACTATTCATTTAAATTATTAGGCTAGTTTTGTTTTACACAGTGAGCATCTACTGCAAACATTTCAAGCTGCTGTAATCTTTAGTACAGATCCCTTCATAGAATTATTTACACTAGAAAAACAATGGGGGAGAGATGGTGAAATCCTCAAGATTACATGAATGGTTGTATCGAAGATGAACTGGGGAAGGAGAACATTTGTTATTGTAATAACTCTGTAATTACATTGATCCCAAAGAGAAGTACATCTGTGGGAAGAGCCAGCCACTAGAGGAGGCAACTGCCTAGGCGATTTCTGTGCTAGTGTCTAAGCCTCCGTACAATCAAGTTGACAACTGCTGCCTCCCAGAGGGCTTATGCTTTAATTTTATAATAAATGTTAAACTAACATAGTTAAGAGGCACTGATGTCCTGATATAAGAATCACTTCTCAGCATAATACCGGGACTCTTTAAGCATTTGAGCAATCACTTTATACCTCTGTAGCAATCTTAGGTAAGTACCTTAACTTCTTCACACCGGTTTCATCATCTTTTAACATGAAGATGATGGTAACTCCAAAAGATGTTCATTCACACGGGCTTGTGGGTGTGTTTTTCCTGTGTTTTTCTTTCTTTCCTTTTTAGTCTTTTTGCTTGTCTGTTTGCACATTTTGTTTTCTAGGAGAAAGTGCGTGGACATTAGGGGTGGGAGCAGATCTAGAATGAGTTGGGGTAGGGGAACCTGATCAGATATTGTCTGAAAAAAAATCGTGATATAAAAAACAAACAAACAAAAACAAAACAAAAAAAAATAAAGAAAAGATGCTCATGTAGATACATGCATGAGGTCATACACATGAAGCCTTTAACAAAGTTTCTCCCAATTCGTAAATTTTCATTGTTACCTATTATTATTAGCTCTGGGTTTGCAATAGCAGAATTACTCCGTAACTTTCTGCTTTATAGCACTAATTACAAGACCAGGACGTGGGACTTTTACTAGAGTGTTTACAGGGAATGCCAAGAATGAAGAACCTACGGCTGGCTGCCATCAGTATCTTAGGGGTCCTGCCTCCCAGTTTCCTCAGGGCACACCCAGAGCCACTGGGAAATTCCATGTCTTAGGTCACCTGTCCAAGTGCTCTTTATAGAGGTCAGTCTCTTAGTCTCATTCCTCACCCCTCTAGCCCAGATGTGCTTTCTCTTGCACTCCTAGAGGGCGTCTTGTCAAAGTGAACTATGTACAGTCGCCTCAGAGTTTGTTTCGCTCGGCGGCCAGACTACCTGAGTCTTAGGTATTCGTCTCGCCCAACCCTCTTCCACGTCCAGGTAGTGACTCCGGACCAAGAAGCGTTGCTTCTTGGGAAATGTAGTACTGAGGCTGGCTTCCTTCTTTGATTGCAGCCGGAAGACTACATTTCCCATCATGTTCAGGGAAAGGAAGGCTGACCCAGGCGGGCAGCTCCACGTGACTACTCACTATGGCTTCCCTGTGTTGTAGCCGGCTGTTTGGTGGTCTTGTGTGATTTGTTACTTCTCTGAGGCAGGGTAATCGTCTCTTGACTTCGACATGCAAAAAATCAAATCTCTCATGACCCGGCAGGTGAGTTCTGTTGTCTGAAGCAAAGAGCTTCCCGCTCCCGGCTGGGAGAGGAGCCAAGACGCCCAGTTCCCGGGTGGCGGTGGGCGGAGGCTTAAGTTATAGTGGGTGGAGGGTGTCAGGGGTGTTGGGCAGTTAAGTAGTACCCTGGAAAACTCACCTGAGCCTCCTAGACCCGACCTCGACTCTTTGTGGGAAGTGTCTTCCTACACACATTCATTTAGACAAAGCCAGTCAGGGAGTTGGGCTGTCTTTGTCTCTCCTCCTTTGCTTTAGCTTCCTTTCTAGGACAGCCTCAGCTGCTTTGCAGAGTCCCCCTCGGCCTCACTGGTGGTGGTTTGCCAGTAGGTACCCTGGAAAGTGAGGTGGGATCTGTGCAATGGAGAAGACTCGAAAAGAGCGAGGGTGAAGACACAGGGCTGTTTGTAGGCAACATTGGTAGTGTGGTTTGGGGGCAACTCTCCAAACTTTGTAGCTGTTCTCTGGATGTAAAAATGGTAATGACAGTTCCCTTTCTATCCCCCCCATCTCAAAGTACCGCATTGTAGGTCACCAGTAAGCTAGTATATGTGAACATTCTTTGTGTATTGCTACTTAAAAAAAATAATAAATGTTCTGACAAAACAATGGTTTGTTTATGTTTTTGCCAGAATGATAATTCATGAATAAGACTGATACTTTATCTTGTCTCATGTATGTTGTATGTTAGGACTTCCTAATACTGTGTCTCAACTTCCTTCAAGAAGTTGAAGAAATTTATTTATTTTTAGGTATTTATTGATAATTTTATTTCAGAAACCTTTAGTTTGACTGTAGCATTTTTAGCTACTGTAACATAATTAGAATTTTTTTGTTTTAATAAGAAAGAAACATAGTTTAGATGAGTTTTAAATCAGCGTGGCTTAGAAATGTTGGTAGAGTCCTTTCTTCAAAGCTTAACTTGTAATTTCTTTTTCTTAACAAAAGAGAAGAGGAATTCAAAGGACTTCTTGACCTGCTTGTGGATTCAGAGTTTTAGCGATACTGGGACAGTTTCATATAATTTTTTATAGACTGTACATACATGATCCTTGCATAATGGTTTTCCTTTTCTTGATTGGAGTCAAGAAACTTGGAAAAAATGTTCTATGAATAATAAAATGAACAGGTAGGCAAGTAGAGGCATTTAACAATCTTTCACGTTGTTGAACACTGGGGTTGTCCTGCTGCTTCTTACTTGAGAATAGGTTTGGAAGCTGCTCCATCCTGAGGGGAGAAGAGAAAGCAGATAATCTGAACACTGGGGTTGTGCTGCTGTTTCTTACTTGAGAATAGGCTTGGAGGCTGCTCCATCCTGAGGGGAGAAGAGAAAGCAGATAATCAGGAGCTGACTTGCAGCCACTCAAGTGCTACATGACTACATTCTGGTTTGACTTTTTGTCTGCTTGGTCTTGTCTGTTAAGCCACATAGTCCATTGCCTGTCATACAGCTTGTAAATGCCTTGGGCTGCTGCATTTGGACATTTCTTCCTAAGGTTGGTGGTCTCTTCCATTTGGTGCCTGTTATCATAGGTATATAGTAGCTTTGGTGATTTGACTTTTTGGTTTTGGGTCTTATGAAAATGAGTAGGAGAGAAAAGACAAACAATTCCAGAGAACTGGTTATAATATATCCATAACGTTTGTAAGTGTAATGCTGAACAGAAAGTGCGATTTCTTAAGCCTCACATAGTTTATTGAGTTCTAGCAAGTTAAATCTGTGTTTAATTGGAGAGGAAAAAAGTCTTTAGAACATGTACAAGAACTGTATACATAGTGAGGTAAAGTTAGGAGGTTTATGCAGATGAGAAGTCTAATTATATATAAGGCTCAATTTATACATATTATGCTGTTGATGCATATTAGAGAGAGATGAAATTCTGGTTTATGAAAATTTAATTTTCTTTATGTTCTCTCTCTTGCTCACTCGCTCACCATTTTGATCTTTCTTTGCAAAAGGTTCACAGGGATGGATACCCTTTGTTAGCCAGCCTTATGTAGATGAGATCTGTGACTCATCATTCCCCACTATGCTGGCCTCTGTTCTTTCAGCTCTGTCAAATTGAATTGAGCATTATGAGCCAGGCACTATTCCAGATTTGGGAGAGGCAGCAATGAATAGAAGAGACAAGCGAGTGCTAAGGAAGACATAGTGAGGAAAATGTTTGGAAAAGGAGATAAGGAGGCCTGGGAGGTTTTACAGTTTAAGATCAATTATATCTGTAGATATCAGCTAGTCATAGAAAGCTTCAGTGAAAAGATAATACAAAGGCCTGAGAGAAGTGAGGGGGGTGAACTGGGTGAGTGGATACCAGCAAAACAAATTCAGGGACTGTTATGGTCCAGTGTAGGCAGAGTATAGGGAATAAAGTAAAAGGCCTCCAGAGATAAGGTCAGGATGAGGACATCAAGCTAAAGGCAGGAAGCAGGTAACACTGAACATTACAGATCATAGCATACCGACTTTTGTTCTGAGTGAAATGACGTTCGGCCATTTTGGTTTTAGTAATATACTTAAGAAGGATGAAGAACAAGAATAGAGAGACTACAGAGGCTACTGCAGTGATCCAGGTGGTAAAGAGAATGGGCCTTATCCTGTTGTAAGTGCAGAGCTAGCAAAATTCCCTGATGAGTTGTGTAAAGGGTCAAGGGTGGCCCAAGGTGGCTTAGCCCCTGCAGTTAGAAGAATACAGTTGTTAGAAGAATAGAATGGAGGACACTGGAGGAGCAGTGATTTGAGGGAAGAGGCTTTTAGACTTGTTTATATGAAGCTACTGCTTAGATATTTAAGTAGAGACTTTGACAAATGGGTCTGAGTTTCTGGGTGGGAATCCGAGGGATAAATACACCTTCAGGAAGTACAAGTCTACTGCTGCCAAACACAGACAGACTGGCAGACAGCACTGCCTGAAGTTAAGTGGAGTGACTGTAGATATATGAAAAATCCAAACTGCTCTTTCCATTTAATATTAAGAGACGGGTTCTGCAGAGCAGAACAGTGATGTATGAAGTCTGTAGCAGCCTGCTGATTAATAAATACTTACTGAATGAATTTGGGTAAAGAGAAAAACAAAAAAGCAAGAGTTTAAAAGATGCTATAGCTCTACCAGGTAGGACTTGAGTGAGAGTCAGCTCTGGGACTGAACAACTTGGGGGCCATGGGGACCTAAGAACAGCCCTCCCTCCCTCCTTCCCTTCCTTCTTCCCTCCTTTCCTCCCTCCCTCCCTCCTCCCTCCCTCCCTCTCTCCCTCTCATCTCTCCCTGTTTCTCTACCTCCCTCCTTTCCTCTCTTTTTTCCCTTTCTATTTCTCTCTCCCTCTCCATAAAGATTTTTCTCCTTTTTATAATTTATATTATATAAATGTATTTCATTTTTATTTATGTGTTTTTCCTGCATTTGTGTCTCCGTGACATATTCCTCTGGAAGTGGAGTTACAGCCAGTATGAGCTGCCATGTGGGCCCTGGGAATTAAACCCAGGTCCTCTGGAAGAGTAGTTAGTGCTCTTGACTGTTGAGCCACCTCACCAGCTCAGACAACAGCATTTCGTTTGAAGTAGTGGAGAAGAAATCCTGGCTAGGTTGGGCTCAAGTCAACTGTATTGGGGAGAGAGAAGGAGAGAAATTATAAAGACTCAAGTCTTTCTAAGATAAGAAGGAGCAAATAGCTGCAAATGTCATTTTGTTCTAATAGGACAAAAATTGCTAACTTTATAAGAGGAACAAAAAGTTCATATAGCTGTAATCTAAGTATCTTTATTCTTGATTGATTCGGGCTAGAGACATGGCTCAGCCATTAAAGGCTAGGCTCACAACCAGGAATAGAAGAAAGTACAAAGGCAGCTTTATTGATGCTGAATTTATATACATTTAAATTGGGGAAAAATAATTAGAAAAGAGTATTAGATAGTGGATAAGGATAATAACAAATGTTTTGTTTAATAAAGGCAGAGCACCACAGTTTGAGAGGTAAATTTGTGCCTTAGATGAGAATAGCAGAAC